CTGTCCCTCAGCTCTTCAGCTCAAGGCTAGCACTCTACCACTTGAGCCACAGCGCCACTTCCAGCTTTTTTCTTTTTGCTTATGTGATGCTGAGGAATGGAACCCAGGGCCTCATGCACGCAAGGCAAGCGCTCTACCACTGAGCCACCTTCCCAGCCCCCACAATCTGATTTTTTTAAACTTTTTTCTTTTTTTAAAATTGTTGTTATAGCTGGGTGCCAGTGGCTCACACGTTTAATCCTCAAGTGGCTGAGATCTGAGGATCATGGTTCAAAGCCATCCCAGGCAGGAAAGTCCCTGAGACTCTTATCTCTAATAAACCACCAGAAAACTGGAAGTGGCACCGTGGCTCAAGTTGTAGAGCGCTCGCCTTGAGCTGAAGAGCTGAGGGACAATGCCCAGGCTCAGAGTTCAAGCCCCATGACAGACAAAACAAAATTGTTATTATAAAGGTGATGTGCAGAAAGGTTACCATTTCATAAATCAGGTAAAGAGTAAATATCTTTTTGGACAGTGTCAACCCTTCCCTTGCTCTCTCCCAGTTTTTCCCTCCCATCTATACCCACAAGTTGTATAGTAAATTTTCAATGTAGTGTCTAGTGAGTACATAATCTGATTCTTGAGGTTTGACATTTTTCCTTAATTCTAAAGTCATGTGAAATGTGATATTCATATGTGGGCAGTTTATTTCCAGATTGGCAGCTGTAGGTAATTAGTTATGGGGCTTGAACTCAGGGCCTGGGCACTGTCCCTCAGCTTTTTTGCTTAAGGCTAGTGCTCTACCAATAAAGGAAAAAAAAGAACAAAACACTTCTGTTTCCATTTCTTGGAGTTCATTTTGAAAAAGATGTAGGTAATTTTTTTCCAAGTCTTGAGTTTTACATTCACCTTGGCCATTGAGGACAAAATTAACTTTGGATCCATTTGCCTATTTGTTTGGGGGAAGGAAGTGTTTCTCATTTGTTTACTGTACATTCTGACTAGCTAAGACGATGCTGTTCATTGTGATTAGGAAAGCTTTATTTACCCGGTGAAATATACCTTCTCCCAGAGGCATTTGTGTATATATTTAGACATATTCATGTGCTTTAAAACTAAATCTTTTGTACTTATTATCTACCTTGGTCTAACTCCGGTTTAGCTCTTCCAATGCTTCCTTCCCCCATTTCCAAACTCAGCAAAGATACGGTTTTATTTAATTTTCTTTGCAGAGTGAGCTGAGTTGGAAAGTGGTGACAGGTAACTGTCATCTTCCTTGTTTGCTATGCTGCATGTTTTCTCAAATGATTTTATCTTCAGAATATCCAAATTGAAAAAAAAATGTTTTTTTTTCAACATTTAATGGCTAATTTGTTGTTTGGGAAAAAGAAGAAAAGTGTTCTGAACCCTTCAGTCCTAAAGCTTTAAATGAGTTGTGTGACAGTGTGACAACTGTACTTATCCTCAAATGAAACCAATTCACCTCCTCACTTGGTTTGAGAGACCAGCTGAATCTTACTAATTATAGAGTACTGTCTGTGCTAATTATAGTAAAGCTATTATAACTATCAGGAGCTAGTTCACATAATTTTTCTTTCTTGTCCTTTAAAAAAAGTAGAGTTTAAACTCAGGACCGTGTGTGTGTGTGTGTGTGTGTTCCCCAACTTGTGTGTGTGTGTGCTAGGACTCTATCACTGGAGCCACAGCCCCACTTCTGACTGTTTTGGTAGGGCCTTCCTGCCTGGGCTAGCTTTGAACCGTGATCCTCAGATCTTAGTCTCCTGAGTAGGTAGGAGTACAGGTGTGAGCCACCAGTACTGGGCCTCAACTTCTTCTTGCTTTAGTTGTTTTTCATACAGTCTTGCATTTTTTGTCCAGGACTGGTTCTGAATCACAATTTCAGCATAGCTGGGATGATGGGTATTGACTAATATACCCAGCTTATTTGTTGAAATGAGGAGTCTTGTCAACTTTTTGCCAAGAATAATCTTTTTTTTTGTCGGTTGTGGGGTTTGAACTCTGGGCCTGGTGAGCTACACGGCCACTTCTGGTTTTCTAGTGGTTTATTGGAGATAAGAGTCTCATGGATTTTTCCTGCCCTGGCTGGCTTTGAACCGGGATCCTCAGATCTCAGCCTCCTAAGTAGCTAAGATTACAGGCGTGAGCCACCTTCACCTGGCAAACCTAGAATAATCTTGAAAGTCAATATTCTTTTTTTTTTTTTGTCGGTCCTGGGGCTTGAACTCTGGTCCTGTGGGCTGTCCCTCAGCTCTTCAGCTCAAGGCGAGCGCTCTACCACTTGAGCTACAGCGCCACTTCCGGTTTTCTGGTGGTTTATTGGAGATAGGAGTCTCACGGTCTCTCCTGCCCGGGCTGGCTTTGAACCGCGATCAGATCTCAGCCTCCTGAGTAGCTAGGATTACAGGCGTGAGCCACCAGCGCCCGGCAGAAACTCAATATTCTTGAACTCCTGGTAGCAGAGACTACAGGTGTGTAACAATACACCCAGATTAGTTCATATAATTTTTCTTCAAATGATTTAGTTCCTTACTGTCCACTTACAACTAATATATTTTCTTTCTTTTTTTTTTGTCAGTCGTGGGGTTTGAACTCTGGGCCTGGGCACTGTCCCTATTCTCTTCAGCTCATGGTGAGCGAGCTACCGCTTGAGCCACAACACCACTTCCGGTTTTCTAGTGGTTTATTGGAGATCAGAGTTTCATGGACTTTTCTACCCAGGCTGGCTTTGAACCGTGATCCTCAGATCTCAGCCTCCTGAGTAGCTAGGATTACAGGCGTGAGCCACCGGCGCCTGGCTAATATATTTTCTGAACTCACCAGCTCCCTGCCTAGCAAAGTGTTTTAGGAGAATGTTTGAGATAACATATACATTTATAACTGTAGGGGTATGTTCTACTTTTCTATTTGTACGTATACTGCTATTTCCCAAAACAGCCTATTTGCTATTTCCCCTTCAGCTCCCAGAATTCACTGCCACCTAGTAAGGTCTGATTAGTCAGACAAATACAATTGGACATTGATTCAATAGTAAAGGAAGAATGGCAGTGATATAATGTAAAACCACTTTGTGTTACCAATAGTGATTTAAACAAATTTCAGAGATACTGCATGGTCATTATAATTTGATTGCTTAACATGAAACACACTTCTGCCTTTCCCAGCTCTGCCTTTCCTCCTCTTATCAAAAACTTTTATGAAATTGGTATGTTTGTGACTTTTCTTCTTTTTTTTTTTGGTGCTAGTCCTGAGGCTTGAACTCTGGTCCTGGGTGCTGCCCCTAAGCTTTTTTGCTCATGGTTAGTACTCTACCACTTGAGTCACAGCTCTACTTCTTTTTGGTGATTAACTGGAGATAAGAGTCTCATAGACTTTTTTGCCTGAGATGGCGTTGAACTGTGATCCTCAGATCTCACCTTCTGGAGTAGCCAGAATTACAGGTGTGGACCACCTGTGCCCAGTGTTTGTTCTGTTTTGAGTAGGGATCTCACTATATAGTCTGCACTGGCAGTAAACTCACTATGTGACCTTAAACTCCAGTTCCTCCTGCCTTGGCCTTAGAAGTGCTGAGATTATAACCATGCTCCAATATGCCATGCTGTAATTTGTGATTTTTATTAATAATTTTGTATTCTTTTTCTTAAGGTCCCTCCAATTCAATTTCAAAAATTTGGATTTGTCTCATTCTAGGCACCATTTAGAAAATGGTCTTGTCCAAACATAATTTGTAGTCAGAATGTAGCTCAACATGAATATATTTATTAATATATAAATAGTGATCACTTAAAAATATGAAAATTCTCTGGATCACAATTTCTGAATCATAATTAAGGTTAATGTACAAACAGTTTAGAAAGCAGCCTTTGGCGATCCATGTCTTGACTAAGTCACGGAGCTTTTGCTAGTGTTACAAATGATGTGATATAATTGTGCTGTTGAACTGAATGAGGTTGCTTTATCGAAAAGTGCAACAGTGGAGTAAATTAAAGCTTTAATGTAAAAAACACAAAGAGAGAGGTGTCCAGAAGTCTCTACTTTTGGAGTAAATAGAATATGATTATTTACCTTTGCAGCTTTACCATTTAAAATGCACTTTGGAAATTATGTCTTAAATTGTGCTGTGAATGGGTGTGCTGTTCTTATTTGTCCTGCTAATATTAAGACTGTAGACATTAAAGGGATTAACCTGAAGTTTAATTTCATCATCTCAGCAGACTGTTTAAAGGAAAAAGAAAATGGGCAGATAATATGAATGGTTGGCTTTTTTGAAGCGGAAATTTAAAAACAAATTTAATTAGATCCAAGTACTAAATGACTCCAAAGGTTAATGCTGTGTTAACAAATTACTTTGTTCCCGAAACTTACAATGCTGGATCTTTTTTTTTCTGTTTTTGTCTTTTGCACAGATAAACACTGCAGTTTGTTCTCTTTATAGATACTGTTATTTTTTTTTCCAGTCATGAGGCCTGAACTCTGGGCCTGGGCACTGTCCCTCAGCTCTTCAGCTCAAGGCTCTACCACTTGAGCCACAGCACCACTTCTGGCTTTTTCTGCTAATGTGGTGCTGAGGAATCGAACCCAGGGCCTCATGCATGCAAAGCAAGCACTCTACCACTGAGCCATCTTCCCAACCCAGATACTATTATTTTTAAAAAACTCAATTTCTCCTTCAGACCAATAAATACATTCATTGCTAATATTAAATAGTTTATTATTATTATTATTGAAAAATCCCCCTTCCAAAAGAAACTGGTTGTCCTATATATGTAGATGTATGTGTGTATGTATGTATGTATGTAGTCTTTCCATAAATACTGTGGATATAGAACTGTGTGTGTATGTATCTATTTGATTGTCTTTTTTAAAGTAAAATTGGAAGCATGCCACATCTATTGCTCTGCAACTCACTTTTTTGTTGTTGTTGTTGGTTGTGAGGCTTGAACTCTGGGCTTGGGTGCTGTCCCTGCGCTCTGCAGCTCAAGGCAAGCGCTCTACTGCTTGAGCCACAGCGCCACTTCCGGTTTTCTAGTGGTTTATTGGAGATAAGAATCTCACGGACTTTCCTTCCCCGGGCTGGCTTTGAACTGTTATCCTCAGATCTCAGCCTCCTGAGTAGCTAGGATTATAGGTGTGAGCCACCAGCGCCTGGCTAGTACCCTACTTTTTTTTTTTTTTTGTCAATCATGGGGCCTGAACTCTGGGCCTGGGCACTGTCCCTGAGCTCTGTAGCTCAAGGCCAGTGCTCTACTACTGGAGCCACGGTGCCACTTTCAGCTTTTTCTGCTTATGTGGTACTGGGGAATTGAACCCAGGGCCTCATGCATGCAAGGCAAGCATTCTACCACTGAGCTACCTCCCCAGTCCTCATAACTTTTTTGTGTGTGACTGTCTTGGTACTTGAACTCAGGGCCTTGGCCCTGTACCTGAGCTTTTTTACTCAAGACTAGAGCTCTGCCACTTGAAGCAGAGCTCCACTTCTGGCTTTTTGGTGGTTAATTGGAGATCAGAATGTCATTGACTTTCCTGCCTGGGCTGCAATTGAACCAATGCCAGTTCTCAGATCTCAGCCTCCTGTAGCTAGGATTAAAGGCATGAGCCTCTGGCACCTGGATAATACTAGCTTTTAATTGAATTTAATTTTAGAAGGACATAAGTAACATTTACTAATGATTAGTCCGTTCTCTCTACCCAGGTCCATTTTTCTATACTCTAGAAAAGCTTTCCCATGAATATCTTCCATGCTTGATCTGAGAAGGGAAAAAGGGAAGTTGTTCACAGAAAAGCTATGAAACTTGGCACCAGTGAAGATTTTTATGGACACTGCCCAAACAGGGTTCTTATTCTGAAGCTGTGAGACACTGACACCTGGCTAAGGGTTGGTTCTTTTTTTTGTCTGAGTCTGGAACTTGCACTTGGTATCTGACACTTGGTTTCACTCATTGGCTGGCACTCTACCATCTATGCCATGCCCTAGGTTTCCATCCCTGTCTTTTGCTGTTTTGGAAATGAACTCTCCTGGACTACTTTGCTCAGGCTAGCTTCAAACTGTGACCTCTGAATCTTAGTGTCCTAAGTAGCTAGGATTGCAGGTGTAAGGCATTGGTGCCTGGCTTATGTAACCTCTGAGTCGGTGGAATGTAAAGGGTTGGAGTAAATTTCGAATAGAGATGGTGGGAAGTAGTGTATACTTTGTTGTGAAATTCTAGGGTGTGTTTGGCATGCGCATGTTGCAAATACCTGACTGGCACTACAGTCACGTAGGCCTACATATTGTTTTATCTTCTAGGTAGACACATCTATCTATCTTTCTTTCTTTCTTTCTTTCTTTCTTTCTTTCTTTCTTTCTTTCTTTCTTTCTTTCTTTCTTTCTTTCTTTCTTTCTCTTTCTTTCTTTCTTTCTCTTTCTTTCTTTCTTTCTTTCTTTCTTTCTTTCTTTCTTTCTTTCTTTCTTTCTTTCTTTCTT